TATATATATATATATATATATATATTTATCATTTGCCGGAATTTGTTGAAGTTGACCCCCTCATCGCCACCTAAATCGACCCTGACAATTACTCTGGTACTCCTCTGGCGTTTTCACCTACTTCAGCCCCAGTGCCGCAGCACCTACCTCAGCTCATCTGCCGTGATGAACCCACCCTGTCCCGATCGAAAATCTTAAACGCCTCCTGCCCGTCCTCTTCACGGTCGTTCCCTTCGTCGCCTCCGGCGTCTGCCATCACCGCCGCGTATAGGGCGCTGAACTCCTCGGCGTCCCCGTGAGCGTCAATCTTCGCGACCATCGCCTGCAGCTTCTCCTTCGGCACGCAGATCCCGAGATTCTCTAACGACTCGTTGAGCTCATCCGGGGTGATGTTGCTGTCGCTGTTAATCGAGCTTGGAGAAGACCCGATGGAGCTCCGTCGTGCCCGTCTCCTCATGTGCAGCCCTAATGCGAGAATTGGCTGGATGGTCATTTAAGTTTTCAGCCAGCAAGTTTGGGAGAGAGAGGCGAGAATTATTGAATTGATTTTGATCGGTGAGGTAAAGTTTCCACCCTATGACAATAATTTATTGGAAGATATTTTTGGATAATCTCCAATGTAAGCACAAATAAATATGCTAGAAGATATTTTAAATAATTTGGGATATACATACTAAAATAAATTTATAGTAGTCAATAGTTTCTTTAAACATAGCTTTGATTGAAAATTTTCAAAATATGTTTGAACGGACTTTTATAAAATTTTCAAAAAAAATTACTTAGTTTAGTAATTCTGAAATTTTTAGGCGGGAAAATAATTACATTTTTAGGTAAATATGAAACCTTTTTATATTTATATAGATTATTATTATTATTTTTTTATTATTATTTTTTTGGCTCAACTTAGTGGAGGCATACCACTACATAGAACTTGTTGAAAATAAATTATGAGTTGGATGGTGGAAACAAATTTTCATAATTTTTCAACCCAACAGAATGGTGGTACCAATATTCATTATTATTATCTCCATTTATCTTTCTTAAAAAGTGGGTATTATTTTAGAAAAATTAATATTAAATATGTTAAAAACAAAATTATCATCTGGTAGCTTGTCCTAGCCTAGATCCCATCTTTCATTATGCTATGATTCTAATAAATTATCATCTGCTCGGCCAGGTAATAACATCGCTAGATCCAACAAAATGGGTTTGACAGACGAAACGTCAAACAATGACAAAGAACCGAGACGGGCTCAAATAAATAGCCCGGCACCATGACTAAACTTAAAACAGAAAATCGAGGCTAAGCAGCCGATAAGACCGCATATCCGCGACTAAAGATGCAAGGAACATCAAACTCGACAATAGCTAAAAAGGATTAAATATCTTCATAAACGAGCCATTCAAAAGCAAGCATCGCACAAATTCATAAATTGTGTACAGACCACACTCGGCCAGCACAACGACGCGCATGCCGGCAAAATAAATAATGTTTGCAAAATAAAGAAACTATCTCGTGGGACCACATGCGATCGACACGGCGCGCAGGCCGAAAGAGAATAAGAAATAAGGATCCGACCCAACGTTTTCAGGGGGGACAATCTCGGCGTCTCGACACAGGCGGCTCCTGAACGACGACTTCAGCTTCCTTGTCAACCCCTGAAGTGCCGGCCTCAGCCTCCTCCATCTCACCAACGGTGAGCACGGCGTCGCGTCTCGGCTGGAAAGGGTCGAACTCGATCCTAAACGGCTCGTACTCGGGCAGCAACTCCCCAGGAGCAAGGCGCCACAACTCCGTGGAGAGGATAGCACCGAACTTCTTAAAACCGACGGTGACGTCGTCGGCCCAACCTCGAAGCCTGCGAACCACTGTGGCCTCGTCGTCGTCAATGACGCATACCATCCCCTCGAAATCAAGGTCATGCCGTGCCATCTTCTCACGGAGTATCGCCCTGAAATCCTCGAGAGAGAGCAACCCGGCATCGACCCGCTGAAACAACCAGTAGAGGTTGCACGCAGCTACCATGTCCATGCTCGGCCTCATCTTCTCGAAGTATTGGACTTGGACCTCGGCCACCTCTTCAGCCCGGCGCCTCTCGCTCTCGGCTAGCTCGGCGGCACGCTGTCCCTCCAACTCGGTCACCTTCTCGGCCCATAGCGCCCTCTCACGGGCCAGGTCCTCGGCAGCTTTGGCGGCAGCCTCTTCCGCCTTGGCGGTCGCTCCCTGCTGAAGGACGAGCTCATTTTCAAGCCTCAAGACCCTCCTGGTCTCATCCTTCAACTCGCTAACGCGCCCTTTGCAGGTAGCAAGGTCCTCCTCGGCTTTATTGCGAGCGGCCACTTCCCTCTGCATTATCTCGGTGGCGTGAACCAGCTCGACCATGGCTCGTCCCAAGATCGCCATCGAGTGCTGGATTATCTGGGACGGAGAGAGCATGGCTACAGCCGCCTCGGCAACCGGGGTCCAGGAGGTCATTACCGTCCGGGCCGCGGACATCGCCTGCTCGGGGAGGTGATATTGGTTAGACAAGTCAAACGGAACAGCCGCTCTCGAATCAATGAACCACTGGTCCGGGAATCGAGGGAGGCTCTTAACGAGCGAAGCCTTTCTCCCCGGATTCACGGGGACGTAGGTCGATGTCCCGACTCGGTGGACGGGGGCCGAGCTCTGGCCGATTAGACCGGCCTCTGTCTCCTCGGCACTCTTCTTCTTTATACCAAGCAGGGAATTCCAGCCCTCGTCCAATTGTTGTTTAGCCAGTAAATTAACAGTGCTGTTGGTCCTTGGTGCTTCGAAAGCATGATTTATTTTATCATGAGATGGATTTCCGGCGGGTGATGCAGTGGACGTCATAATATCTACAACATCGAATGTAATAAGCAAAATATGTCAGTGTCCAAACATAGAAGGATATAGAAAATGAGGGGGATAATTTCAAATAGTTCCCAAACTGGCCAAACCACCCAGGAGGTTTCATCCAAATAAATCTTGCTCAATCATCCCTAAACTGGCCAAACCACCCAGGAGGTTTCAAATAGTTCCCAAACTGGCCACTTATGCAAAAACCTAAAGAGTACTTTTTTAATCATCCCTAAAATGAAATAAAGCTCAGATCGAAAATCTAACCCGGTAGTGGGATTTCAATGTTCGGCCGAAGTCTCTTATGTTTCACTATGGGCGGCTGAATTGTTGTGGGGACAGTTGCAACAAATGGTTCAATCTCCCACGGGGAAACCCTCTCGGGTCTTGGAACAGATGCAGGCTCATCCCACTGAACCTGGAGACATACAAAAATTTGAAGAAACAAATAAAAAAAGTTGGGATAATAGAAAGAAGAATCCAGGAATATGAGCAAATGTACTGACCTTTAATGTTCGCCATTTGGAATTTTTCCAGTGTTGAGAAATATCCTCCATCCCGACAATTGTACCCGAAAACCTGATAGCCAAGAGAAAGAAGATGAAGTTTAGTAACCTAGAAAAAATGGCTTCTAAAATAATCAATTCTCAGTAGCTCAACCAACCTCCGCTCTGGAGAATCATCCCCCTCAAACCGCATCCTGAATCTCATACCAACTCCAAATTCTTGATTTACAGCTTCTAGAAACTTGTTCAGTCCAATGATGAATTGACTAGTCCTGACATGCAACAAAATAAAAGGTAAGGAAACAAAATCATAAGATAGCCCCCAGCCCGCGAGCCCATAAGTCCTGAGTGCCGATCAGGGGCATACACGGCCTGAAAGTTGGGTAAAAAATTAGACACATTATGTGAACCGGACCTTGGTTTGTAATAAACAACAAAGAGAGTCTGAGTTAAAACGGCATGAGATGCAGTTGCAAGGACTCCCAAGTGCATGCTCTGGCTTGAAATTACTGACGACTGCATGGAATTCTGTTGCCGGGCATATCGCCTGACACCAACACGTAATTCTCCACTCTCTCCCCTGGGACAATCAAAATTTCAGAAACATCGAGGATTTTAAACCCCCATATATATAATCATCAGACGAGTACCTTAGAAATACGAAAGAATCACCCGCTACTAATCTCTTGGAGGAGACGAACGTGCTCCACCCAGTTGTGAGCAAATGCCTCCGTTGACCTGCTCGGTCCAAATGAAGGTCTATTTTTAAATTGTAGTCACAAAATTAGGAATATTATATTTAATTATTTATCATGCTTGAATTGATCACACGCCTCAGTTAATTGGTTTTTAAGGATAAAATTTATTAACTTGAAGCTGTGGGCATAATTTTGTATCAATGAGTTTCAGATAAAGTGAGATTCAAGTGATTAGAAATGGGATACCTCTAAATATATGCTTAAAATGCCATGTGGTTCCATTAAGATCCTTAGCAACCAATTCCTGAGTTGGAGTCGGTTGGTTCATATCCTATCAAAGAGGATCAAGATTCAACAAAACAAAAACTATAACTAAATTCCTCAAAAAGAAGTCAGATGTGGTGTGCAGGTACACAATAATAGTATGTTAAAGTATTTGCATTAACTTATGCTTCTAAAAAGAAGTGATCTATTCTACATTGAACATAATAAAGCAGAAAATTAAAGTTGACACATGGTGAATAAGTTGAACAAGTGCTTCATTGTGTGTGTGTGTGTGTGTGTGTGTGTGTGTGAGTGTGAAATCTCAAACTAGAAGCAGAATCAGAAATCTAAAACAAAGCAGACCTCAAACAACTTTTGGAAGGATGAATCGACATTTACAAACATTAACTCTAGTCTTTCCATTATTTCTTTTTCCAATCACAAAGTCAACTATTTCTTTTTTCAGTTTTTTGCACGCACTGTCAGAGTAGGGGTTGGAAGATCCGTTACCAGGGGTGGAAAACACTCGTTCGCATGTTTTCGGAGGACAGAAAATCCACCATGTGTGCACGTATCTGAGGCAGTGAGAACTTTGCAGAAGGAGGAAACGGCAGGCCTAGGAGGCTCGTCAGGACAATTATCCAGACTTCTGGGTTCAGTTTGCTAAATATATTTTCAAACCAAATCATAAGTCAATACTTCTAAATCAGGCAAAAATAAAAAAACAACAAGAGAGGAATAAATTCTTACATCAGCTTCGGGCATCAGGGTAATTTGTGCATAAACTTCATCAGTATCTTGCTCAACCTATCATGTTGGGACAATTTGTGATACAGTTGTCACTTAGATCTAATTAATGATAAACTTTATATTCTTGAATAACAAAGTCAAGATAAAATTTGGCAATTAAAGAAAGGTAACAACAGCAAGAAAATTGAGTGTGCCCCGGTTATGTACCAAGATTATGAACTGAACTTCCATCGATCTATATACACCCAATGTGGAAACATAGGGGAAAGGAAAAGGAACCATACCAGTAACTGAATGTTGAATACACGACATAGGATCTTTGGAGGCATATTAAACATCGGTATCCTTTGGTTCAACTCCTGATTTGTAGATGCCTCCAACTAGCAAAAGATCCCCATAAACAGGATGAGCTCAAAAACATCCACAAAAACACGAAACAAACAACATAACTTTTATCAATGGAAATGGCGAATAACTCGGTTAAGCATTGCCTCCAGAATCAATTCCCTCCAATCCCCATAGGAGGCTCTTCTCCCTTCCATTCATAGGTTTTGTACTCAAAAATAATTAAAACAAACATTCAACATATATTAAGCTCCAAGCCCAGTTTTCCACCCAAAAGATCTGAACTTTTTTTATTACCACCAAATTAAAACTAATAACAATAAGCTCCAATCCCAGTTTTCTACCCAAAAACATCTGAACTTTTTCACTACAACCAAATTAAAAACCAAAAATAATCATAAGAGAAACTACATCAACATTCAAACACAACTCACTTGTTCCATGTGCCCTTGCGGGAAATAATAAACCCTTTCCCCAACCTTAGGAACGTCCACCAAAGGACCTGCACAGGCTTTCCATAGCTCTTCATACAAAGCATCCTTTACCTCGTTTCCTGAAAAAAAAAAAAAAAAAAAATATATATAATCACAACAAACCCTTCAAATCAAACAACGGAAAAGAACAAGTATATCAACGAATCAAATTCCAAACATCAAAAAAGGACCTTGACTTGAGAAATCAGCACTCTGTTGTTGCTGAATAAACGGAACCCTGTTCGCCATGGCTTCACCTGTGTTGTGTATCCACGCCTTCAGTGAGCAGAAATCTAGCCCCAAAATCTAAATTAATGTTATTTGCACAAACTCAATCTACTTACCAAAAGCAGTCTTGAGAGAGAAAAAAGTAGCATTACTGCTTCAATCTACTGCTTTGATTCAGTCGGCAGAACCGGAGTATATTATACTATTACTACTGATTAATAATTGTGTGTGTGTGTGTGTGTGTGTGTGTGTGTGTTTCACTTTACTGAGCGTGGGTTTTGGTTGTCTCCTTTTTCACCGCACACACACTGTGTGGGTGTGCGAGAGGATAGTGACCGGCGCCACCCAAAGCAACTAATCCTGGTTAGATTTTTAACTAGGGTCTGAGGTCTGATTGGCGGTAATTTCCTCGCGGAAGGGGAAAATTCGGGTTTATTGGTGGGTCCCACTCAACGTGAGTGTTTATTATGTACTTATAGCATTACTCTTATCCCAATATGTACCCATAATAAGAGTGTTAGTTATTATGGTTTTATCCCAATATGTACAGTGGACATATTATTGAAACTCAACCACACATTCTAGGCTACCTTTGTAGGCTTCCCTCGTTCGACTACTGATGTAATTATGTGTTCTAGTAAAGAAATATATCGTTTCGTAAAAAATTAAAATTCAACAGTCAGATTCATGTTAGAAGTTGTTAGTACTAGTACAAAATTTTATTATTGATATTTGATTTTAAGGGCGTCAGTGGACATAGATAATATGTGTATTTGATTGTTTTTTTTTTTTTTTAATATAGTTAATTTATTAGAAGAATTGTTTGATTAGTTTTTAGTAGGATTTTAAGATTGTGTTAAAATAATATCTAAAATAAAATACTAAAGTTTATTTGACGTAAAACTAAGAGATATATGATTAGAATAATTATATGCAATTAAAATTATGCGAGTAAATGAAAAATATATTAAAATTGATGTGATATATGAGGAACTGATACTATTTAATTGTATGAATAATATTGAAAATAATGAGGTTAAGTCGTATTTTAAGTTGAGATTGAATTGAGTATGGATATATTTATATCCACTCACCCTTAGCTTTTGGAGGAACTCAAAGCCATTTTACTTATGAAAAATCACTGACGGACCTAAACAAAGGCCCGTAGGGGCACGGGTCCCTGTAAAACTTTTTAGTAATATATAGTATATATTTGTTGTATGTATAAATGTATTGTTATATTGACATTAAAATACATGTTATTAATTATTATGCAAAATTATTTCAATATAAAAAATAAGAAATGAATGTTTAGAATTATTTAACCTTTAATAACAAAAATGAATGAAAAATTGAATTTTTTATTATTTTTTAAGTAAAAGATCAAAATTGTCATTTACGGGGAGACGGGAATATTAACAACTTATATTAGGAAAACGCTACAACTACATAATAAATGTACATAGAGATGTACATAACACTCACATAGAGTGGGGTCCATTTGATTTTTTATTTTTAGTGGGTCCCATTCAACGTGAGTGTTATATACATCCCTATATACAATGTTATGTACTTGTACCATTACTCCTTATATATTATATCATGTAATGATTTAACCAAATTATTTTGGATTAATGCTATATTTGTAGATATCGCGTGTACAGTACAGCAAAGCAAGTGTGATCAAATGACGTTTGAAAGGGGCACTCATTGCTGTCGGCCTTTGATTGGGCCGATTGGCTGCCTGCCCCCGCGGCAGTCTACACTGTTGGCTCCCACTTCCTCCCGGGAGACCATTTATTTTTTCCCCTTCCATTTAATTACGAAGACTACCACTCGCGGGGCCCGCCAAAAAATCACATTGACTGACAGTGACTGCATTCGGTACCGCTATAGCCCCTCCAATATCTACTTCATAAACCCACTCCCTGACGTGTCCTGTGTTAAAAGATTAATATATTTATTTTGTACAAAAGACAACAGTTTTGTTATGGAGTCATCGGATGACTCGACTTATGGAGCAATCCATACTTAATCACCAATAGTACATTGACATGTGTCCTACAGTAAATACAATTTAGACAGGTGTCACTATATTAAGTGATGGATGGCTCCATAAGAAAACAATCCGATGGCTCCATAGAATTTTTGCAAAAGACAAATAAGTCATGTTAAAAGTCTTTATTCTTTATCTCCTAACTAGTGCGTATCCCGTGCGATGCACGAGTATATAAATTTGGAGAATATTATAATTTGACATGCATTAAGATATATGGGAGTTTAATACATACGAACATTATTCATCATAAAATGTTCGTCATGAAAAAATCACATATTTAAACTTTTTTGTACACAACATTATGAGTTTGATTATTGAGTAACTCGTTGTGAGGAGCACGAACCGACGCGGGCTGCAGAAACTGGGCCTCCCTCAACTGGGCTCCTTTGCTGGACTTCTCTCTTGGGTTGTAGATGCTGATTGTTGTCGAAAAAATTGCCCCCACACTTGGACAACTTTTCTTATTAACTTTTCTTATTTCACCTATATTATAAATTATATTTTATTCCAAGATTAAGTTTTTCATTTCTATTTTATGTAGATAGTTATTTTATATTCCCAACTATGCTGATAAAGTATATTTTTAGTTTGAATCATGTAACTTCCTTAATAGTGCGTTGAATAATTTATAGATAGAAAAATAATTTAATGATTCCCTTTAATTTCTCTTTCTCCCCACTTATTTCATATTCTATATTTCACAATTTTTTCCAAATAAAACAAAAAAATTACATACAACAATTGTTAGGTTGACCATCAAATAAATCAAAATAAGACTGTAAATAAACGTAAACTTTTCCTTAATAATTTCTATATATTTTTTTTAAAATAATAATTGCAGTGTTTCAGGTTCGACGCAAAATTGGTTTGTTTATTTTTTATTAACTGTTTATGAATATGCTATCTATCTTAATTTTTGTTCAAAGTTGGTCTATTTTTTATTTATATCATCAGATATATGATTTTAGTCATCATTGGACATAAACTCATAGGATGTGACGATAAATATGCATTTAGATTTTAACATATGCAATATAAATATAAAAAATACATAGAATATATAACGCAGATTATTAGTCGGAAAAAGTGTGTATTTTAACATATGCAATATACATAGAATATATAACGCATAATTTAATATATACCTGCTCATAGGATAGTTGCACAATTGTTGGTCGGAAAAAGTGTGTATTTTATATATTTATTAGTAAATTTTTATATGTTTAATCTTATTGCACTTATTATTTTTTGACTTATTTATTTATTAGATGGATTTAAGTACTATACATTTATGATTTATTTTTAGGATAATAAAGAAGAAAATAAAAGAAAAAGATTAATTGGGCTAAGAAAGAAAACATGAGTAGGCTTGAGGTGACTTGTGCATACATTCAAAATGATGATTTGGAGACTTTAATGAGCTGAGGTTTGGGCAATTAAGCCCTAATCAAATATTAACACATGGATTGGAATAGAGAAGAAAAAAGCGTGGGGAGCAAAAAATATTCACGCACGGC